AGGGGGAAAAATGGCGGACAGCCTTGTTTGGCGACCCCCGTGAAATGGTCATTCGACCCCAAATGGGGTCCCAACCCAAAGGTTGAGAACCACTGTATTAGAGGGTACCATATGAAAACAAATTTGTCTTCGTTTCATTAGTGAGACTTCAGTTTTAGAATATCTTCTCTACAGAAAAAGAAAACATCGTTGAGCATGGCATAACTTTGTTCCAAGTAAATATTCATAATATTTTATTATAAATATACTGAAAACATAAAATTATTCCAGTGAAACATGGAATAATGCTTTTTTCTCCCCTAGGACGCATTGCGAAACTCAGGCAGTGATGGGATGGGCCAAATTTCCCTGGAGTTTTATCAGAAGAAGAAATCACGATGGCCTTTCTCAGATGAGTGCATCCCTTGGGAAGTTTGGACAGTCAAGGTAAATGTAGTGAGTCTGGCTAATGAGCAAGAACGGCAGATATGTCGTGAAAAGGTGGGAGAAAAACTTTGTGAAAAGATTATCAACATTGTAGAAGTGATGAACCGACATGAGTACCTGCCCAAGATGCCTACTCAGTCAGAGGTGGATAACGTCTTTGATATAGGGCTGAGGGATGTCCAGCCCTACTTATACAAGATTTCTTACCAAATCACTGACTCACTTGGGACCTCCGTCACCACCACCATGCGTCGCCTCATCAAGGACACCTTGGCACTCTGATGTCCAGGATATCATGGACCAGACATTTTTGAAAAGCAACACAAGCAACTGGTTTTCTGCTCTCACCTAGCCCCAGAATACCATATCCATTATTCTCAGAAATTTTTGGATTCTTGACATCCATACATCCTATTCTCATTCACTAACCATTACAGGGCAAGGCTAGAATTAGCTTGTCCACCAGTTCACCAGATCCCAACTTCTTTCAATTGCAATAGAGAATAGAAACCAAGAGACCTCTTCAATGTCTTTTTCTGTTAAATCCAATTCCATTAGATGAACTACAGTGTGTCTATGGGAAAAGATGGTGTGCATGCTTCATAAATATTTTGGTAGCACCTAATACACATAAGATAATACCAACATTTGCACTATCAATGAGCCGTAAACTAATATGTTGGCTAGATTCCCTGATTTCTTGATTTTGAGATCTGCTACAAGGCTGCCAAGGCTAAGGTTACTTTTCTTGGCAAAAAGTGTGCCTTCCTTCCTGATTACCTAATTGTTAGCTCATCTCTAGCTTTGGAATAAATACATTTTTGCTTCTAGGTGCATGACTTCAGGGTGGGAGTGTGTAAGGGTTTCAAGCTTTCCCCCTTTTTTGTGAGTAAAAATTACAAAAAAGGACCCATTCTACATACCTATATTTTTCAGTAGAGTTTGAAATCTGTAGCCTGTATTTCTAGAAAAAGAAAATTCATCTTTTGTATATATTTTACCAGTGTAATATTATACGTATAAAATAATCTAAGAATAAAAAGAAAATTCCTGTCTTTTGTGTCGTAACTTTCTGTAATACATAGTAGTTTTGAACTAACATACACTCAAAGAGGCCTAAATTATTCCAATTTATTTAACTTTGATTGATGATCCTTGAAATCAGTTTCAATCCTGATATCAATGCTGAATTCAGTTATGCTTCGTGATGTGTTTTTGAGTTCCATTTGGCAGAAGTGAAGCTTGGAAATGCCACATACGTTCACACGATGAATTTGAGTTATTCTGTTGCTCAGCCTAGTTTTCTTATTGAGATGTAATAAACACTATAAAACCAGACATATATCTGAGGTTTCTGATAATTAGGAAAAATGTCAAAGATTTATTTCCCACTAAAAACTTGGATTGTGAATATATTGGTAGATATGGTAATCCAAATAACACATACTTACATTATAATGAGGTGAGCTATTAACCCCGTTTATCCAAGTATATACATTGTAGAAGCATGTCCCAAAGGTGCTTTTTCACGAGGCAACTGGGCTTTTTTTTTTGACATGTTTCGCTTCTCATCCAAAAGCTTCTTCAGTTTAACTCGATGGTGGGGAATGGAAGAATTTATATTCCTAGTCATTTGCATTCTTTTAGAGCAGGACTTTTTAACCAGTGGTACAAGTACCACCTGTGGTACATTGGCACCTGGCAGATGGTACGCGAACATCCTAGAAAAGTGGTAGTGGGGGAGGGGAATGAGCTGAACCGGTGGCAGCACCGCAGAAGCCTGAGTGAGAGATGGCTGAAGCTGCAGGGCTGTCAGGGCTCAGCGGAAGCACCAGGATCAGCGCTTCTTCGGGACTGTTAGGGCTCAGTGGAAGCACCAGGATCAGCACCAGGCTCCAGCTGGAGCCCGGCACTGATCCTGGCGCTTCTGCTGAGCCCAGAAGAAGTGCCCATCAACTGGAATGTTGCAGCATCTCCAGGGTCTTGTGATTTACATTCAGATGCTTGGCAACTGATTCATATTTATGACGGTCACAGTATCCCAGGATCATGTGAAGTGACTAAAACCTGCTGCAACCACCCAGCAGACGGGGGGAATAAAAACCAAACACTCCCCACACCACCCTCCCCTGCCAATCCTCAACAGAAATGCTCACAACAATGAAAACCTCGGACAGGAGGAAGAGGACCGCCGGGTGGGCAGGCAGGTGTCTTGCTCGGCTTTGGCTTGGGGGGCACTTTTTTCAGTGCCATTGTAACTTCGAACAGTCACTAAGCAATCTGTTGTAAATCAAGGACTACTTGTACTTTATCACTTTTTTCTTTTTTTGGTCATCAAGTTTTTGACATCTTGCCAGGTGACTGGTGGTACTTGGATATTGCCATATCCTAAAAGTGGTACAATGGGTGAAAAGGTTGAAAAGCCCTGCTTTTAGAGAATCACTGATGCCACCTGGAGGCTTATCTATGCCTTCAGGGTCACCTGAATAGTGCAGATGAGTGTGGAGGAACTGTTGAAAGGACTGTTGTAGACTAGAAATAGATGATGTGGTATCCTCCCCCTCTGTTGGATGAGAAGCAAAACATCTTCAAAGAGAAAAAAGAAAGTCCAGTTGCTTCGTGAAAAAGGGACAACCATGACCTGGATTACTGAGAATCTCCATAGACATTGTAGAAGCATCTTTCTCTTTTCATGAAATGCATTAATAGTACTGAGATTACATTTTAATCGCTGAGTTTAGAAAATTATGTTTACCTTTTTGGACAACATGTGACAGGCAAGGCTGAAATATGCCTTGGAAAATTAAACCCCTTAATTCGATTTATCCCTAGTTATTTAGTCCATTGAAATAATGAGTTCTAATGAGATATTGAGAGCCAGTTTGGAGTAGTGGTTAAAGCATCAGGAGAAAAAGGACAGCCTGAATTCTAGTCCCACCCTAAGCACAAAGCCCGATGATCTTGAGTCAGTGACTTTCTCTCAACACTAAGGAAGCAATGGCAAACCAAGTCTTGCCAAGAAAACTTCAGAGACTTGTTCAAGCAGTCTCTCCGAATCAAACATGATGAAATGGAAGGGGGAAAAAGTAAGATATTAAACCAATACTTACCTTGCTAAAGGACAATTAAATGATAACAGAAGAGACCCTTATAGTTCTGTAAAGTTACTAATAGGTATAAGGAAATATTCCTCAAATTATCATGTAAGACCAACTATCCGCTTTAATATGGAAAGGAAAGCAGGATGCCCTGGTCTGTCCTATAGTTTCAGGTATGAGTTATTCTTTAAATCAGTGGTTCTCAACCTGTGGGTCGGGACCCCATTTGGGGTCGAACGACCATTTCACGGGGGTCGCCAAACAACGCAGTCCGCCATTTTTTCCCCCTTTTCCTTAGCTGTGCTACTCCCTTTTATTCTATTGGCTTTTGAAAGCCAATAGAATAGACTCTCTTGAATAGAGTCTAATTCTATTGGCTTTCAAAAGCCAATAGGAATTGTCCAGGCTGTCTCTGCCCTGCTGAGCCCGCCAAAAGTCCCATTCTGCAAACGGTGCTGCACCAGTTGAGTAGTCCTTGACTTACGACCGGTTGAGTAGTCCTCGACTTACGACCGGTTGGGGGTCGCAGCATTAAAAAGGTTCAGAACCACTGCTCTAAATTGACCCCAAAATGCAGATGTTAGGTATGTGTTTTGCTACAGTGTTAACATGAGCCAACAGATCTTTAAAATTGAAGGAATCTTGGTAATGTAGATATAATCTCACGGAAAAGTGTTAAAATCTAATATATGCCCCATCTTAAACAGCTAGCTTGCTTCTTCCTAAATAGAGACTGTAGCTGTTCATTATCCAGTTTACACATATTTACTCAGAAGTGTGCCTGTGACTTATGTTCCCCTGATTCTACTGAGAGTTAATATTCTTACATTGCAATCCTTTGTACGGTTATACTGGAAACTTAATGAACTAATTTAACTTAAATCAGAACCATATTTTATATCATTAGTTCAATGGGTTTAAATATGGTTAATTCTGCACAAGATCATAACTTTTCAATTAAATATAAATCTAATCCGAATAATTCTTAATGCACTCTACGTTTCGCAATGTTTTCATAGCTGACAATTGGACACCCCATCATTTCTATGACCTGACCAAACAACCGAAGCTTTCATTTTACACAAGGACAAACCTAGGACATTTGTTCAGCTTTCACTCTAGAAAAAAAAACACTGCCTCATACATTTCTAACCGCTTTTTTCTACTCATTAGTTCCTTTAGAGGCGTGGCTTTTAAAATTTGTCCAATTAATAAGCAGGATTTCTTCGAAGCGCATCGATGCTATCCAATACGAGAGGCTGTTAGTGAAGCGAGTAGCTCACGCCCAGGAAGCTAAGCATTGGGAGAGCTCAGCATGTGCCATAGTTCCGTCCTTTGAAGCCTGAGCGGCGCAGAGGGAGTTAAAACTTCTCCAATCAGCAAGTCCTCAAGCGAGTGAGTGACGGGAGGGTACCCAATTAGACTTTAGAAAGGCAAGGTCGTTGGCCAATCTTGATCCAGAATTTCTAAAGCGAGCCGTTTAGAAGCCGATCCAGGTTGGTGGTAGGGCTGCTCTTCCACTTCGCCGGTGGCCGCCATGTTGGGGTTCGCGGGTCGCTGCTGCGCCTCTTCGGCCTCTTTTTTACTGAGGGGTGCGCGAGGCGCGTCGAGTCCCCTCCAGGATCTGCTGCAACTTCGGGGTGGTGTTGTTGCCGCTGCCGCCGAGGCCCGTAAGTGGTGGGCGAAGCACAGTAGGAGCTCGAGGGCGGGGTCACCTTGCGGCCTAGCGGTGGCGGGGACTGGCTTCGGGAGGATTCAGGAGTACAGAGAAAAGCCTCTGCACCGAGGGTGCTGCTCGGCCCGGATGGGAGGCTTTCCTTCCCCCCGTCGTAATTCTGCCACGTCTCTCCTCGGTGCTGCCCTCCAAGAAGGGGAAGCAGATTTGTCGCTTGCCCTTTTTTTTTCTGCTGGATTCTCACGGCTCATCGAGCCACGCATTTGGCTAACCTGACCTAGAAGGGTGCATGCGCCCGTGAGAGCCCAGAACGTAGTTTGATTCTCTGCGTTTTGTGTGTGTGTGTGTGTGTGTGTGTGTGTGTGTATATATATATATATATATAAATAAAAAGACGGGACGGCGTGTTGCCCCTCCCCCCCGCAATGCCTTCCTCTGCAGAATCGCACAGATGCCAAACCCCGGTCGTTGGTTACGTGTTGGCGGTGTCTCTTCTTAGCGATCGCGCGGATGGGCTTTCGCCACGATCATCTCATCCTTCAGTCTTTGCCCACCCCCCGTTAGATTTACGGGAGAACCGATGGTTTCGGGTCCGGCCTTTCTGCGTGGGCGGGAAGACGCCGAGCGGCGGCCCCAGAGGTGTCGCAGTACCTTCTGCTTCCGTATTATAAGATGCCCGGGGACGATGAATGTCCGCCGCCTCCGAAGAAAGAGCGAGGAAGACGACCTGGGGACCACGGAGGCCGTCGCTCTTTTGCCAAGGACAAAGATGGCGTCCTTCGGCACTAGAGGGCATGGGAAGGCATTGCGGAGCGCTTTTTCAGATCCTGGACGCCTTTTTGCCATCCCCTCCTCTGTGGGTACAGTAAGCCGGGCGAAGACGGAAAGAAAGGCAGGGCAGAATGGCCGAGCAAGATAAAACGGGATTTTGCCACGCGGTTCTCTAAAGATCTAGGCATCGACCTTTCTCCATGAATTTTTAAATTGCGCGGACAGGATTTAGGAACGATTTACAAGAATCAATAATGCTTGATCGATCTAGGAGTTTTTTTTTTAAAAAAAAAACACGAATTTTCCACAATGCTTCATCATTGGTTTGGGTGGATAAGATCTTCAATATAACCTGGGTGGATTTGAGTGGATAAGATCTTTAATATAACCTGGCCCGGAGGTATTACAATCCAGACTTAGTGAGGAGGAAATTATTTTATCAATAATTTGGTGTTAGGGAGGAAGCTATTTATGCATCTGCATTTTGAATTTTTTCAGAGCTTATTGTTGATCTGTGAGCATTCCAGTTGTGATAAGGAAATGTTTCCTTCAAGGGACTCTCCTGGATGACCACTGCAAAAGCCTGGCTTTCTATAGCTCGTAAAGGTGTCTCATATAACAGTTATTTCTAAGTTTTTCTTTAAAGCTTGGTACTAATAGATTGTTAGAATAAAATTTCTTCAAAACATTACGGAAACCTGAGACTCATTTTCCTCCAGGGTTCTGTATTTGACTGGATTGCTGCTGTGAGTGATTTTGCATAATTGCCAGAATTATTTATAAAATGTATGTTGCCCAACTCCTGACAACTCTGGGAATGAAACTACAAACTGAAGTTCTTTGATGTTATCTTGCAAAGAGGAGAATCTCAATCTTAAATCTTTTTCAGGAAGGGGAAGGTGTTTATAAGTTGCTGAATGTGAAGTTGTATAATTAAGAATCTTAATTTGCCTGATAATAGTTGTACTTTCTTTTGTAGGCCGGAACTATGCCGCACAAACAGCTCCTGCAGCTAAAGCTGGAACTGCCACTGGACATATTGTGGCAGTCATTGGTGCTGTGGTTGATGTCCAGTTCGATGAGGCCCTGCCACCAATCCTCAATGCCCTTGAGGTGCAAGGCAGAGATACACGCTTGGTGCTAGAAGTGGCTCAGCATTTAGGTAAATGACATTGATAAACCTGACTTTAAGTCTGTTAATGCTCCTCGTGATGATCAATAAAAATGACTTTCGTTCTTCTGAACCTAATGAAGTCATATTTATGATCTGAAAAGGAAGGTCTTTTAGGCTAGCATTATTGATTGATATTGTGGAGCAGCTTTTATGAGCCTCCTGTTATGTTTCAAGGCTCAGTATGTCCCTGAAGCTCTCAGATAAAAGAATACTTAAAATTTTGCATGTCTAACTGGGCATTCGATATCAGTTAGTTTTTCAGCCAAAATGATTTCTGTTAAAATATTTTTTTGACTGCATGAATTTTGCGTATCTTTAGAGCTGGCATTACTTACATAATAGAAGGCATGTTGTGTCTATAAACAACTTTCTACCAACTTTCCTAAAAGTTATTTGGATTCTTTATTTTTACCCATTGGTAAAAAATAACTTTTCAAATGCATTCTTCTATTATATTTCTTCTATTCCAGGTGAGAATACTGTTCGTACCATTGCTATGGATGGTACTGAAGGTTTGGTGAGAGGCCAAAAGGTTTTGGATTCCGGAGCACCAATCAGAATTCCTGTAGGACCTGAGACCCTTGGCAGAATCATGAATGTGATTGGAGAGCCAATAGATGAAAGAGGTCCAATAAAAACCAAACAGTAAGCATGAATTTGGAGGAAGCAGTAAGGCAACCTTCATTCATCATTTGGTTTGCCTTGTTTATTTGATGTTCCTCTCCACCTAGGGAACTATATTTTAACCACAAAATCCCATCAGTAAAATGAAAAAGGAGAGACAGGTGTACCCACTGATTTCCATGCCACTTCCCAAACGTTTTAAGGGGCAAGAAAAATTTTGCACGTATGTGGTGTCTCAATTATCTACCTCGGGGGTCTCCAACCCTCAGACTGTGGCCTACTACTGGGCTGTGAACCATTTGGAACCAGGTTGCAGAAGCGGGCAAGCTCATCTGCTTACCAGCTGCTTGCATGGAACCATCTCCCCAGTCTGCAAAGCCAGAAAGGTTGAGGAACCCTGGTCTGCCTAACTGAGAAAAATGGTCTTAGATGAGTCCTAGTGAATGTTGACTTAGTATATAGTTGCAGTTGACAAGAATATTCCATATTAGGGATCATTAGAAAAGAAATAGAAAATAAAAATGGGAACATTAATATGAAATATGACACAAATATATGTCTGCATTTAGAGAACAGTGTAGTGTGGGTCATCTTGGAAAAAGATATACTTAACATATGACCACCTTTTTCAGGATTGCTGCTATTCATGCAGAAGCACCTGAGTTTGTGGAAATGAGCGTTGAACAGGAAATCCTTGTGACTGGCATTAAAGTTGTGGACCTTCTTGCCCCATACGCAAAGGGTGGTAAAATTGGTAAGTTAAGTGAGGTAGAATGGTGACCGGTTGTGTTTTTGCCACTTCCTTGCCCTTGCCACAGCATGGACTTTAAATCATTACCAGTCTCAATGTTTTATGTACACATTATGTTAGCTGTCTTTCCTTCACTGATGAGCAAAACTCTTTGACTTTCGTTCTTCTGAGATTGCTGAAGCAATTCATCTTCTGAGAAGGAAAATGTGAAATTGTAGAGGAGCTCCTGATCGTTCTCTAGTACTGAAGCAGCTTTTTCCTTCAGGTCTGTTTGGTGGCGCTGGTGTAGGCAAGACTGTATTGATCATGGAGCTGATCAACAATGTTGCCAAAGCTCATGGTGGCTACTCAGTATTTGCTGGTGTTGGAGAAAGAACCCGTGAAGGGAATGATTTGTACCATGAAATGATAGAGTCCGGTGTCATCAACTTGAAGGACACCACCTCCAAGGTGAGCAAACTAGTCAGGCTTTAGCTGTGGCCTTAGACTCCAAAAGTGTGATATGGGTTGGCTTAATCTGTCTTGCTTGCATCCAAAATTGGCCATTATTCTTGAGGGTGTGCACTTCTGAATTTCCAATGTTGATTTTGGGTCATGGGTTGACAGTACTAGAGAAAGTTTCAAGGACTGAAGATATTTCTAGTGCACCTGGAATATTTTGAACAAAATACGAAGTGTACAGATATTAGACAGTCACTCTATTGAAGGAATTACATAGGCTGGAAGAAGTAGTACATTATTAGAAGTAAATCTGCATTATGTTTCAGAAAGACATATTAGAGTTGGTAGGATAATAAGAAATCAGCTAGGATATTTCTGGGTATAGATCATAGTACACCAATTTATTGCTATGGAGCAGGAAAAATTTAGCCACATGCTAATGAAATGGTGTGTTATTGTTAACATTGTGTTATTTTAAGTTTCTTTGCTCTCCCACAGGTTGCTCTTGTTTATGGGCAGATGAATGAGCCACCCGGTGCTCGTGCCAGAGTTGCTTTGACAGGCTTGACTGTTGCTGAATATTTCAGAGACCAGGAGGGTCAGGACGTGCTGCTCTTCATCGATAACATCTTCCGTTTCACACAGGCTGGATCTGAGGTAAGCTTTAAACCAATTTGTCGATCAAAACAGAATAGATTAATGAGGGGCGGAGCCAACTGTCAGAGCGGACGGCGGTGTGAATGGTTTCTCCGGCACTGCCAAACGCTCGTCCTAGGTCCGTGAGGCTCTTCTGAGCCGAAAGAAGCCTCGTGGGGGCAACAGAAGGTGTGGGCGATCTGCTGCTCTGCCGTCAGTGGCGACTGGCGAAGGGTAGCGGATAAACCTGGTACCGAGCGGATCGGGAAGAAGACGGCCAAAAATGGCCGCTGAAGCTGACAGCTGGACGGAGTAAGTGAGGAAATAGTGGAACGACGGTAAATTGGATTTGACTAAATTGACTTTTTCCCAAAGCTTTGTGAGCGGTGTTGGTAGACGCATCAAAAGAGAAAGCTGAAAGGGGAAGCCTGGAAAAAGAGAAGCTGAAGGAGTGGAAAGTCAGCGGCGAGTGAAAGTGGCAGGAAGGCCCGGAAGGGCCTGATGTGGAGGAGCCAGGCTGCACTGATTAAAGACCTAACATTTTAAAAACCACACAAAAAGACAGGAATCAACATTCATTTAAGCTAAGAATCTTGTCTTATAGCCTCAGGCTTTTGCCTTTGACTGCTGAGCGGATTGGCCGGCTGGAAAGATGTCTGTCCTCTCTCTTTTAGTGTTTGTTTTTTTTTTTCCTCCTCCCCAGAAAGAGATAGAGACTGTATGATAGAAGGAACTGGAACGGTATAGAGATTGACAACTGTGGAATGCGTTGTTAAGGAGATAGCAGGTGTTTGTATGGATGTATAGAATGGAATGGTGTGAGACAGAAGAAAGAAGAAAAGAGAAGGGATATTAAAGAGAGATTGAAGGGTTTATTGGATTATATAAAGAAAAAAGGAAAACGCTGGGAAAGCTTAAAGTTAACGGCTGAGATTGAACTATTGGAACCTGTACTTGTATTAGTATTATATTGATAGAGTTACATAGATGGAATATACCAGTTTTATTGTTGTTTAAACATCTGGAAAGGGAATAACATAAAGGAGAAGAAAGTGGAAGAACGAAAAGAGGGAAGTGGAAAGTAGATATTTTGGAAGAAGAGTAAGTTGTGGGAGAGTTTGTTTAAAATGGCAAGCAATCCAAATTTAGCTAAGATTGGTGGGGGGAAGAAAAACGTAACACAAGGTTCCAGCCCTATGAGCCAAAGATCATTAGATGACATGCTTCAGAGAGAATGTTCCAATCCACTTAAAGAATTGCAGGCAATGATGCGGCAATCCAGGAAGTCATGATGAAGAACCATGAGGAAATCAAAACAGAACTAGAAGTAGTTAGGAATGTTACTGGAGAAATGAGAGAGAAAATTCAGGCAATGGACGGAAGATTTGAAGCTTTTCAGCAGCAAATCGCAAAAAATGAACAGAAGTTGTTGGCAGTAGAGCAAAGATTGGATAATGAAGAAAAGAAGGTGGAAGAGATGGACAAAACTTAACTGAAGCTAATAAAGAGTTACTGGAAGCGGAGAAGGCGACCCAATATCTTAGATCCCAAAATGTTATTGAGGAAAGAGGAGAAGACCTTCCAGACAAGATGGCGGGTTTGTTGGCAGGAGCTCTGGAGATTGACAAAGAAGAGATGATTGCTGGAATGGACGAGACATACAGGGTGCAGACAAATTATGGGAGACGACATAACCTTCCCAGAGAGGACCATGTGAAGTTTATAAAAAAGAAAATTAGAGATGAACTATTATATAGAACATGTGATGAACAGTTAGAATACGGAGGGAAACAAATTATTGTATTAAAACAGATAACCAAAAAGGATGAGAGACCTCAGAAAGAACTACCTCTTCCTGACGTCCAGGTTACATCAAAGCAATGTAAATTTTAGAGGGTTAACACCAGAGGGACTTATTGTGACTTGGCAAGAGAAGAGGTTTAGATTGGATACAGTAGAGAAAGCAGAAGACTTCTACAGGCAATATTGTGCTTCAGAGGAAGACCTGAGGGCTCTCGGAGAAGAAAGAGTTATGGTTGAAAAAAGAAGAGATATTGAACGAATGTTGGAGAAAAGAGGGACAGAGCAAAGCATGGAGGAAGTGAGAAGGGGAAGAGGTCATGATAGGCTAGAACAGCAGGGGAGAAGCTTAGAGGAGGCGAAGGAAATAAGAATTACTAGAAGCACAAAGACACGACAAAAACAGGACAATAGAAGAGGAGTATAAGATTTGGTCAACAAATATTTGAGGGTTGAACGCACCAGTAAAACGTAGGAAAGTTTTTAGTAAGCTTATTAGACTAAATGCAGACATTATCACCTTACAGGAGGTTCACATAAAAAATGATCAAGAATATCTATTAGAACAATCTAAATTAGGTAGGCTATATATTTCACTAGACGAGAAAAAAAAAGAGGAGTAGCTCTATGTTAAGCAGAAGATAATTTCAAAACAAAAATAAAGACAAAGAGGGAAGGGTCTTGATAGTTGAAGCTAAGCTGAATAAAAAAATATATAATTGTTGTAATATATGCCCCAAATGGAGCTCAAGTATCCTTTTTTAAAAATCTTCCTAATAAGCTGAGTGATATGGAGGGAGATGGTTTCTGTATAATTGGAGATTTTAATGCGATTGCAGATAAAACAAAAGACCATAAAAGTACAGAGGCAAGGAAAGGAAAAAAAAAATACTTCCCAAAACCTTCTTTGAGATGTGTACAGATCTTAGCTTACATGACGTTTGGAGGGAAAGGAATTATGATAGGAGGGAATACACATACTTTTCCAATAGACATAGACCATGGACCGGGATAGACATGCTATGGTTTACCAAGGAATTAGCTTTGGAAATTGAAGAAATTGATATTGAACCTAGCCTCTGGGCAGACCATAATCCGATAAGTTTTCACTTGAAAGGACAAAGAAGCAGGCCAAGATGGACTCTCCAAAGAGTGATTCTTAAAGAAAAAGAATTTAAAGGAAGAATGGAGAAAGAAATGCACTTTTTCTTTCAAGCGAATGACAATGAGGATACATCCTTGCAGAACATTTGGGATACGGCAAAAGCATACATGAGGGGTGTAGCAATTTCGTACATGGCTAAGAGAAACAAAGAGAAAAAACAATATAGGATGAGGCTAGAGGAAGAATACAAACAGGCCGAAACACAATTTCAGAGAGATCCTGAAAACAAAGGATTGAAAAACAAAATGGATTTAATTAAACATAAACTCTGTATAGAGCAGTGGTTCTCAACCTGTGGGTCGGGACCCCATTTGGGGTCGAACGACCATTTCACGGGGGTCGCCAAACAACGCAGTCCGCCATTTTTTCCCCCTTTTCCTTAGCTGTGCTACTCCCTTTTATTCTATTGGCTTTTGAAAGCCAATAGAATAGACTCTCTTGAATAGAGTCTAATTCTATTGGCTTTCAAAAGCCAATAGGAATTGTCCAGGCTGTCTCTGCCCTGCTGAGCCTGCCAAAAGTCCCATTCTGCAAACGGTGCTGCACCAGTTGAGTAGTTCTCGACTTACGACCAGTTGGGGTTGCGACATTAAAAAGTTGAGAACCACTGATATAGAGGATTCGGAAAAGCTAGCACAAAAACTACAGGCAGCTAAGCAAAATAACTTTGAGCACGCGAATAAACCAGGAAGATGGCTAGCGTATAAACTAAGAAGGCAGAAAGAGAAGCAATGGATTATTAATTTGGAAGATGAGAAAGGAGAGACCCAGGGGGAGAAGACTATAAAAAGGGGAATCGCTCAAAGATACTATGAAAAATTATATAAGAGAAATGAGGGGGGGAAATGTAAGAAGGATAATAGAATACTTAGGGAAGGTAGACATACCGAAGATTCCGGAGGAAATAAAATCTATGTTAAATGAGGAAATAAGAATGGCTGAAATAATCAGGGCTATAAATAAACAAAAGATCAATAAGGCGACTGGTCCAGATGGAATACCTGCGGAACTATGTAAAGAACAACAAAGTGCACTCAATCAATACCTACTAGAAGTTTTCAATGCAGTATTAACCGATGCTAAAATACCTAAGTCCTGGTCGGAGGCAAATATAATATTGATTCCAAAAGAAGAAGCGGAAAAAACATGGATACAAAATTATAGACCTATATCATTATTGAATTCTGATTATAAAATTTTTGCCTCAATAATGGTGGAGAGATTCAAAAACTACCTAGTTGATTTCATACATTCGAATCAAAATGGGTTTTTACCAAACAGGCAGACTAAGCAGAATATAAGAACAATTTTAGACACCAAAACATGAATTTTATGAATCGCATAGTGATCGTCAAGTGGCACTTCTGTTCCTTGATGCACAGAAGGCTTTTGACAATGTTAATTGGCAATTTATGATCCAACAACTAAAATCAATGGATGTTGGGGAAAAAATTTTAAACGTGATAACCGCAATATATTCTGAACAAAAGGCCCAGATCATAATAAATGGAGAGGCCACTGATAAATTCAACATACAGAAAGGCACAAGACAAGGATGTCCTCTCTCACCACTGTTATTCATATATACATTAGAAATTCTTGCTAGAGTAGTAAGACAAGAAGAGCAGATTAAAGGACTTAAGATCAAGAAAGAAATATACAAACTTCAAGCTTATGCAGACGACTTAGCATTTATATTAGAAGACCCAGAACAATCAGGCCAGAAATTATTCGAAATATTGGAAGAGTATGGGGATCTGGCAGGTTTGAAAATAAATAGAAACAAAACAAAGATTATCACAAAAAACATGACTAACATACAAAAAGGAAACCTCGAGGCAAAATTAGGTATACAAGTAGTTTCCAAATTAAAATATTTAGGGGTAGTTATTTCAGCTCGCTGATCATCAATTAAAGAAGACAATTATGGCAAATTGGTCAAGAATATAAAAGTAGATTTAGACCGCTGGAATAATTTACATCTCATTACTCGGGAGAATTGCCACAGTGAAAATGAACATCTTACCTAAAATGATATTCCTGTTTCAGAATATTCCAATTCAATTAGACAAGAATTTTTTCAAGGAGCTGAATAAATTAACCTTAGAATTTGTGTGGTCCGGTAAGAAGGCAAGGATAAAATTAAAGGCACTACAGGAAGCCAAAGAGAGTGGAGGTTTAGGTTTCCCAGATTGGGAGCTATATTACCAAGCAGCGGCCCTAACATGGATTAGAGACTGGATAACCTTAGAAAATAAAAGATGTTTACATTTAGAAGGTTACGACCTCCAGCAGGGCTAGCATGCTCACATATGGATGGGGCAAAGCAGAAACCACCAATATTTTTTAAGACATAAGGTTTGGCAAGAATCAATAAAAAGCTGGAATATAGTTAAACATCAATATTACACAAAGATCCCGGCTTGGCTATTGCCATTGGAGGCAGTCACATACCCCAATTTGTACAGGACAGGCAAAGCTATTTTATATAAAGACATCTTGACAGAAGAAGGTTATTTAAAACAAAAACGAGCTAAAACAACAAGGAATAGACATGGAGGGATGGTCTTATCTCCAGATACAAGCAAGATACATAAAGGATAAGCAAGAGTGGGGAATTAACAGACAAGATATGGGGTTAGATAAAATACTGCTAGGCCCAGAAAAAAAACAAAGAATATTTATAAACATCTGTTGGAACATAATCTATATGAGGAGCAGGTTAAAGAAACAATGGTGACATGGGCAGTAGATCTAGGATATAATATAAATATGGATCAGTGGCAGCAAGTATGGGAGCGAAATAACAAAATCACAGTGGCGACATCATATAAAGAAAACCTGTATAAGATGGCTTATAGATGGCATCTCCCTCCGGCCAGATTAGTCAAAATGTATAACGGATATTCATCTATGTGTTGGAAATGTAAAAAAGAAAAGGGCACCTTTTTTCATGTATGGTGCACATGTAGAGAAACACAGATGTACTGGCGTATGGTCTGGGAGTGGGCAAGAGAAATGACTAGGCAAAACATTCAATACAAACCGGAGACATTACTATTAGGAATACTAGAGAAAAATGTAAATAAAGAGGACACATATTTAATTATCCATGTGGTCACAGCAGCAAGGATTTGAATGCAAATTGCTCAAAAGTGGAAAGCAGTGGAAGTACCGAGTGGGGAAGCACTAATAAAGAAAATTATGTATTGCGCAGAACTAGATAGGATAACTAAAAGATTAAAAAATCAGGAAGAAACAGAATTTTATCGAATATGGAATAAATTTTACAGATTGAGGGGGGGAAATGGAGGTCACAGTAAAGAGATAAACTGAGATAGAGACTAGAAATGTATAGTTGTATATAGGTATATTATATGTAATTAATGTACAATATGGACTGAGATGTCAGTCAAAGACGATTTACCATGTTCGGTGTTTTTAATCCTTTTTTTTCTTTGTACTTAATAAAAAATTTTAAAAAAAACCAGAATAGATTAATAATATTAAGATTAGGATCTTCCTAAATTGTGGACAAGGAAAGCATAGATGTGTTGTATAAAAGAAACTATGTATAAAAGAAACAACCTTGGCAACTGCAGATGATTTTAATTTTCTCTTCCAGGTATCCGCCTTGCTGGGTAGAATCCCCTCGGCTGTGGGCTACCAACCTACCCTGGCTACTGATATGGGTACCATGCAGGAGAGAATCACAACCACAAGAAAGGGATCTATCACCTCTGTGCAGGTAATTTGCTATTATAAATGTGTTTCTCCAGTTACATTGTCTACCAATTCAGGGTGTACGATGTTACTGTCTCATTTCTGGAAGGCGATTCCGTTTTCATCTCCATCATTCCCCATGGGATCTGATGGAAGTGCTCCCCTTCCATATAAAGAGCTACACAAAGCTTCTAATGGTTAGCATTAAAACTGCCTATAAATCATTATCTTTCTCCCAAGGCCATCTATGTACCAGCTGATGACTTGACAGATCCAGCTCCTGCAACCACATTTGCCCACTTGGATGCCACCACTGTGCTGTCTCGTGCCATTGCAGAGCTGGGCATTTACCCAGCTGTAGATCCTCTGGACTCGACTTCACGTATCATGGATCCTAATATTGTGGGACCAGAGCATTACGATGTGGCCCGTGGGGTGCAAAAGATTTTGCAGGTGAATGGCGTGAAAATCATGGAATCCTAACTTACAAATTAGTGAATGCTTTTTGTATTCTTTTTAATTGTGTATGTAGAATATTAGCACATTTTTATAGCAAGTGAGACTGGTGATACTGCAAACCAGCAACAGCCGCTTGGAAGAGGCAGAATGTAGAGAGGGTGGCCTATGGCTTGATCTACTCCATGATGCCCTTGCTGTCTCAACTCACCTGTAGGCTTCCTCTCTAGGACTACAAATCCCTCCAAGACATTATCGCTATTTTGGGTATGGATGAATTGTCTGAAGAGGATAAGCTGACTGTGTCACGTGCCCGTAAGATCCAGAAATTTTTGTCCCAGCCCTTCCAGGTGGCTGAGGTTTTCACTGGCCATGCAGGCAAGCTGGTGCCTCTGAAAGAAACAATCAAAGGATTCCAACAGATTCTGATAGGTATGTATGACAACTGGAATTGAAAACCCCCCTGAAGCTGCTGGCCGTCTTTTGTTGTCATCTTTTCTCATTGATAATTTTCCCTATTCTACTCATAAGGCATCTACCGCACTACAATCTAATTGCTTTTCAGATGTAATATAGGCATTTTTCCAAGTAATTGTCTAGTGATTGCCATCAATATTCCATTCAAATCTAGGAAAATAATAGCTGCCTGTAATGAGATTACAAATAATTACAGGTAGTCCTCAGTTGACAACCCCTCATTCAGCGATAGTTTGAAGTTAGTTTGAAGTTAGGGCAGTGCTGAACAAGTACTTAACAACTGGTCATTGAAGGTCCCAGCATTGCCTAAGGTCATGCGATTATAATCCGGGCATTTGGCAAGCCATGTGTGTGCTTAATGATGGCTGCAGCATCTTGCAGTCACATGATCACTTTGTGACCTTCCCAGCCAGCTTCCCACAAACAAAGTCAATTTAGGGCAGTGGTTCTCAACCTTTCTAATGCTGCGACCCCATAATACAGTTCCCCATGTTGTGGTGACCCCCAACCACTTATGCATCACCGGGTGCCAGGGGCATGGCCAAAGAAAAGGGAAAAATGGCGGACAGCCTTGTTTGGCGACCCCCGTGAAATGGTCGTTCGACCCCAAATGGGGTCCCGACCCACAGGTTGAGAACCACTGATTTAGGGGAAGGTGGCAAAAAAGGTCACAAGTTGCTTCTGATGCTTTTTCTCCTGAGGAGCCTGGCTAAGGGGTACAAGGCCTCAAGAATCTTGTACTCTGTTCTGTGCACACATGCCCACAGCACCCTTCCTGAAGTGTGAGACACTACAGCGGCTATTGCGACCGTTCCCACACCACCAGCAGCCATCCCCAACCTCACCGTGCTCTGCCTCAGTTACTATTTGTTATTTAGATGACGGTAGAATGAGCAGGAAAGGCATGTAGTCGTGATCTGTTTCTTCTTAACGATTTTACTGATTTTCAGTGTTTGACTTTTTGTCTCTGCAGGAGAATATGACCACCTCCCAGAACAGGCTTTCTATATGGTGGGGCCCATTGAGGAAGCTGTGGCCAAGGCTGACAAGTTAGCGGAAGAACTCGCATGAGTTTACCTTTGAGGCAAATCCTGTATGCTTTCAAATGTCCAGTGGTTCACTTTGTCCCACCTCACAGTTCTTGAAACTCTTGGAAATTTCTTGAAAATATTTAAGTTTCCAATAAACGGTCTGGTGCAATTATAGAAGTAGTTAATGGTACTGTTGCATCAGGAACAGGAAGAAAAGCTATAGCTTGAAGCAGACCAAATTTGCTGATTCTGGATTCGCTGACCACAAGTAAGGCATTCTTGCTGACTGTATTGGGAAGCAAGATTGTGCTGTTTAGGGTTAATTCCAATATGGTGATTGCCCAGAATATTCCACAGAGAATTGATGGGAACTGGATTGATGCAGAAAATCCTTCTACCCTGTAAAGATCATTAAGTGCTGGCACTTAATGATTCCTTCCTCTTCTCCAAAGCATTTGCCAAATAAGACAGATTAGCATAGTTAATATGCTCGCCTACAGCCAGCCACTCATGCAGGCGGAGATTCCTTGGATAGCAGTCCAGAAATGCCTCTGAATATTCTAGATAGCATGCATTTAAATCTTGTTCTCCCAGAACAGGCATGTTTGCCATGAATTCCAAAACTCTGTTCAGTTTTTTGTAAGCAACTTCACCCAGGTTTGGACAAGTTAAGTGCCGTGTTCTCTAATGCAAATGAATGGATACAATTTGGAAAGTTGGAATGGAAATTTTTTGGCTGCGTAAGTCTCTGAAAAAAATCATTATTGAAAGAATGCTCAGATGTTGCTAAACCTTAATCCTAGAATAGAATCTTAAAGAAACATGGACATTCAAACCCTCTGTGTTTCCACAACTTCGTACCAAGTCATAACACTACCTATCTAGTTTCGGCTTAATGCAGGGGTGTCAAACTCGATTGTGTCACATGATGTATCGTGATGGTTTTTGCCATTGTGGAGCCAGGGTGGGCGTGGATGTGCATCTGGCCCACAGGCTGCCAGTTTGACACCTCTGGCTTAATGTATTATGTGACAATCCAGTTCAGTAATATGTAAGTTTATGTACCTTACTACATAAACCTAAAAAGAAGGCTGCCACTGTTAATCTGATGCAACAAAAGTATGTTTAAAAGAGATATTATCCACTCTGGCTTTTTCACTCTTGAGCTAGCTTTGGTTTTTTTAAGTACTTGAGCAACTTCCTCCTGAATCTCATTAACTGACTCCCACACTACACATAGGGATGTGTTTCTCTTTCCCTTACCACAGCCATTAAGGTTGCCTTTGGGAAGGGAGGAGGACAGCAATTCTCTCTTCCTTTGCCTGCTGTAAGGAAACTGGGTAACATTAACCTTGACATGGTTGCCACCTATAAACAATTTGTCATCAGAAACTCATTTTAAAGGTGTTATGCCTGGATGCTCAAAGAAAGAATAGAAATCAATAACTTGCTGTAAAATGAAAGTAATCGGGATTAATCGGCTAAGACTCAAGGGATCGGTAATTGCTCTAGTATCAATTTCTCAAGCTTATTGCTCTGCCTATGTCTGGGGGTGTTTGGTTACAGAATCTCCTGATGCCTTTTCAAAAACACAAAACAAGTCAATGTGGCGGCAGAGGTTGGTTGTGATGAAGAGATCTAAAGCAAGTAGGGTTTTCATTAGGAAAAGACTTATCAGAGGGTCCTTTATGGCTGAGAGGGTTTGTCACACGTAGATTGTGTCCTGCAGAACAGATTTGATAGTTATGTGCTATTACATTTCTACTCTGCTGCAATTAGAATTGACAAGCAGAAGATCCATGGCAAAAGTTACTGCTTTCGGTATATACAGTGGTACCTTAGTACTCAACTATTTTGTAACTCCTCAGATTTGGTACTCAATGCATTTTGATGCAAAAAAAATTGTCCTGGTGCTCATTGGTATTCAGTGCACAAGTATTGACTGCGTTGTGATTCACTACATTATTCCTTATGGGAAAAATGTACTCATCAGTTTTGGTACTCATTGTGCCTCCTGGTACCAATTAATGAGGAATACCAAGGTACCATTGTATGACACCAAACTTCTATTTTTTTTTTCAAATTCTTTGTCCATTAAGCCTAATAGACAAGTTTGATTTTATTTTTATATTCACTTTGAGAATCTTCTGTATTAAGATACCAATCCTACTCCAATAATTTTTTTCTTTGTCACAAGTTCACCAGAGATGGTAAAAGGTCCCTTTTCATTTACATTTCCAGCATGCATTTAAAATACCTCTATTTTTTTTTTTTTTTTTTTTTTTTTTTTTTTTTTACTATATCTGGTGTCTATGGAGAGTCTTAGCCATCCAGGTCATAGTTATCCCAAAGATACTTTTTTCAGCAACTGTTTTTCTTTGAAGACATTTCACTTCTCATCCAAGAAGCTTCTTCAGCTCTGACTGGATGGTGGGGAGTGGAAGGATTTATATTCCTTGCAGAGAGCTCAACAGAGGGGGAGGGATCTGATATCATCCATCTCCGGTCTACAACAGTCTTTTCCATTTGCACCACTCAGGTAACCCTGAGGACATAGATAAGCTTCCAGGACTTGCTAAAAGAATGCAAATGAACAGCTGTCTGCAAGGAATATAAATCCTTTCATCCCCCACCATCCAGTCAGAGCTGAAGAAGCTTCTTGGATGAGAAGCAGCTAAAAGTCTTCAAAGCAAAACAAAGTTCAGTTGCCTCGTGAAAAAGCATCTTTGGGATATTTATCTGGTGTTAAATACCATTGGCACATCATCTTATAAAATGTTTGTTTTGAAGTATAATTTAATGTAAGTTTTAAACCCTTCACATATTTTCCCATTGTTCAACCATTCTGTTCAAAAAAAATTTACCCATCGGATCATACAATGGTTTACATATTCATTCTTCAATTTCAGTAGCGGTTTATAAATCTTGGTAATATGTTCATCATTACCACATAAGTGTTTCCAAATCATTTTTTGCAAAGTCAGATCCATATCTTTTTCCTCTAGTTTAAAACTACCTTTTCAACTGTAAATACATAAACAAGTGACAGATACATAACTTCTGATTCCAACTCTTCTTTAGATTTGGGAGTAGGTTTGCCTTGATTAAAAATTTATTTAACCATAGGTCCACCAGTCTGACCTCACTGTCCTTTCTTTTCTAAAGATAAGCTTTCTGGCGTGACACCCAGAGAGGTATCTTTGCAGAGAACCTTCTATTCCAAATACTTAGGATGGCACATCTAACAAAGTGGTTATTGAAATCATTTATTTTAATCGTGTCATATCATAAGCAGGCATGCCATCCAAATCTTAATTTGTGGCCCTCCAAAACGAATAACCTTTTTATTTTGGAGTCACTCATTCTTTTAGCTAGGCCAAACAGCAAGTATCAAAGTACAATTTCAAATCTAGTAAACTCAAACTCCTTTAGTATCTTGCAAAAATTTATATCTATTTTGGGGGGTTTTTTCTCCTTGTCATATAAACCTAGAAATATTCATTTGCCACCCTTTCAAATAGTTTGATGCCATGTGACCTGATATCCTATTATTTAATGCAGCACATCTTAATGGGTCACCTTTGCATCTAACTGCAGTAGTAGCTAATTTCCTGACTAGAATCAGCTGGATGGGACAGGTTGTCTGCAACTGACTTAGATCAGTAACTTAACTCTAGTATGGGTCAACCAGTCCTTTGGCACCACCCGTTTCCCATGCCTAATAGGATTCTACTTGGCACTACTGGCATAGCAAATCTAACCACACTAATCTTGCAATTTTACATACTCCAGCAGCAGAATTTGCTTGTACACATTGCAATGGTTTCTTTTGCTACCTAATGGTCCTGGAAAGGATCCAGTTTTCTTTCTGTACATTCTAGCCTCTTTGCATCTCTTTTGTGCTATCTTACAGCCAAATGAACGTGAATGAAAAAGGCTTTGCAAGATGCCAAGTAATCACTATAGGAGAGCTATTCGGCTAGCTAGATAACCAGTGTAAAGACAGGTGACAGATGCTGTGTTTTTTACATCATGTTATCTATTGCACATTGCCTGGTCTGGGGCATAAGAACATCAACTACAATACAACTTGTTAGTGAGGATGTTAAAGTAGTGATGTAAGCGGGTGGGTGGTGGGTATTGCTGGTAGTTGCCATTGAAGCAGAATGTGGGATAAAACAGGAAAAGGGAATTATTCTGTGCAAATGTTGCTGAAGTATTTGACATACTGGTCCACGATGCTGGAGTTCTGGGAACTGCAGTTCTGATTTTAACCTCTCATCTCTAGCCCTGGAATAATGATTCAGATCAGCTAGCTGACCTTGGCTGAGCTAGAAAGCCAAGTGGGATTAATCTGATTAATCTTTGGATAAAAGATTTCAGAATTGTAGGTTAAAAGGTGGCCTAAAAAAGATGACAATAAACCATTACTGCCTTCTGTTGAGAAAACTATATCAATATGTCTATGAACTTAACCAGGAGAGGAACTCAAAGGAGACTTGATCTATAAGTGAGCCATTAAGAATAGCAATCCTTGAATGGCTGCCAAAAAAAAAAGGCCATTGGGTTTGAAAACCATGCAATGCACCAAGCTACAATCTGCTTTGTTTAAGCAGATAGCATGTTGTGTTGTACTGAGTTCAGCAATTGGGTGAATGGAGTAAACCACAACCAAGTCAACTATATGTAGTTTACTCATACACCACAGCCTCTTGCTTTTGGAAAAGAAAAATAAGTGAGAACGCCCTTCCCTTTGGAAGTGTGGCATTATGAAAGACTGGCATGTGTGGAGATAGCTTACTGTTCCCTGACATACTCCTGATGGATTTGTAAAAAAACTGCCCCCCCCCCACCTTTTGTTTCACCAGTGCAGAGCAGAGCAAATGGTTGTCATCTGTATATATATGTGTGTAGGAAGGATGCTTGGCATCTAATTTGCATGTTCTTTAAGTAAAGGGGGAGGAGATACAACAAAGCAATTGCTGAAAGGAGAGGTGCAAAGCAGTAACATTTAGCCAAGATGCTGTGTTTCTTTAGTGCAAGGCAGGTGGGGGAGATGGAGGCAGGAAAACTCCCAAGCAATTAACTGGAGCAGAATGATTTTTTTCCTGCCTTTGCTTATGCATATGAGATGTTCTTCCTGGTGCCCTCAGGAGAGGGAAAATAGAGCTGGGAGG